ACCCTGCAATACATACATGACATAACCAAAGGTCATGCACATTATCATTCTTTTACACAAAGGGAAAAAATTACCAATTGCTGATAATCCCGACTCATAACACATATTTTCTATGTCTTATGTGTCAGCAAGTATCGTCGGCCAACAAAGCTTGGCTCGGGACAACGATATCGCAGTGCACACCTATACCTCTTATTCCTCATTCTGGTGCAACGCCAACCATGCACAACAACAATATATTGATGCCAACCATGGCTAGTAGGCAAATGAGAGTAGCGAATATTCATTCATATAGTCCCCTTCAACACATGAGGAAGTTTTCTTCTTCACTGTATATGCCTATATGTTTCTTATTCTTAAATATCTGAACATATATTCACATGTGCCTTGTTGTTATTGTAGCTACACACAAGCTCATGAAGCCAAGCTCATAGGGATTATTTGGGATAAATTATGGGAGTAGTGGCTTGGCAGGCATGTACGTATAAACGTTGCCCTTCTGGCGAAGTGAGGCATTTGCACCAATGAAGCTTGGTGCTTGCGATGTGCTCGACTTTGCCAGAAAGAGGTTGGGTGGTAAAAGCATGGAAATGAAATTGTGTCACGCCCCAGAACCCAAATCCGAGGCGCGATAGACGCCGTACACTCGTGAGATGGGTCCCACGAATGCACAAGGCTCGGAACTTAACCAAATCACATCTGACAATCCATTAAATGAATAAAATCAACCTTACAAAAGGATGATAGAATCTAAAACTTATACCCCAATTGAATGGTTAGCCTTCTAACTCGTCACTCCCCTCGGTTTCCCCGTCCTCGGTTTCACTTCCTGAAATGGTGGACAAGGAAAACTATGAGATAACTCAGTAAGTAAATATGGATAGCCCTTGGGTAAAACTTTTAAGCATGCCGAGTAAACCATATAAGCATAACAAAGCTTTCAATGATAACTCGTTAAAACAAAATCAGATTCAGTTCAATAGCAAAAACGTTCAGTGCCAAAACCGTTAATGCAAAATCCAGTTCGATTCAATAACAAAGTGTTTCATGACAACCCGTTCATGCGGAATAAAACCCATCAGTAGTCTCATCTATAAGTCATGGCCAGTGTTTAACAAACTCCCACTGGCAGGCGTCAGTAATAGTGCCAGTGTTTAACACACTCCCACTGGCAGGCGTCAGTAATAGTGCCAGTGTTTAACACACTCCCGCTGGCAGGCGTCAGGTAGTGCCAGTGTTTAACACACTCCCGCTGGCAGGCGTCAGGTAGTGCCAGTGTT